TGCTGGTCCTGAAATGGCCAGCTTGCTGGTGTTGAAATGGCCAGCTTGCTGGTCCTTCAAATTTGTTCTTCCAATGGCGAAGCACCGCGACTGATAAAGTGTTTTTTTGCATGGCCAGATTGCTGGCTGATCATAAATGTGCGCTGCCAGCTGGCTTGACTGAAACTTACACTTGACTGCCGCAAAATTTCCCAGGCCAAACGTCGTCCATTGTCAAGAGCCTCATTTGTATCCATGGGAATGATGCGACCACCGCCCCCTTCTGTGACTGCGAAAACCATCCAAGCCAGCAAAATGGGACAATGGACGCGAGCCAAGGAGAAGCCAGCGCCGTGCCCGATGATGGTTCAAAAACGCCTCTTGCACAGGATGCCGCTGGAGCTTCTCAAGGCGAAGTACAACTATTTGAGGAACAACTCCGCGGCTTGGATGTTATTGCTGTTCACTGACTGAGGTTTGATTTTGTTTGACCGACGTTTTTCAAACTATTTTCGCTTCTTTTCAGCCTCAACTCAGAAGTGGCTCTCAAGCATAGACTTGGAAGAGGCCATGCGGAAGATCATTCGCCGATGCTCCCTTCGAGCTCCGATTGAAATTGACGCAAATCAAATTGAGCCCAAGAAGCAGTGTACTGACACTCACTGTGGGCATCACCCGTCGCCATGCATGTAAAGAAAGGGCCTTTGGCAAGTGAGCTGGCCAGTCAATGTCTTGTAATAAATTAAATGTAAAATATAGACAACAAACTGGCCAAAAGACCCTTACGGTGTTTGGCCAGTTTGTTGTTTCATATTTTGTTTCATATTATGTCTTACTCTTGCCAGCTAGCTGGCCTCTTAGCCGTTTTGGGGTTGTTTCAGTTGCCAGCAAGCTGGCATGTGGCCAGCTAGCTGGCCGCTTTTTGCAATCTTCCTCATTCTGAACAGATGCGTCAGTGCCACCTTAGCACACTGATCTTGGCTGTTCGAATTGCCATGAATTTTGATCCTGGCCAAAATATCATTAAAGATTCCAAAAAAAAACAGCATGGATGTTTCCAAGAATGGTTGTTTCTTTAGCATGGATGCTTCACTGGCATCTGATTTGGGCAATTTTCAGTGCATGTGATGCTTCTTCAGCATGGGAAAATGCATGTTATGCTTCTGCAGCATGAGGCAATGCATGTGATGATGCTTCTTCAGCATGGGAAAATGCATGTTATGCTTCTGCAGCATGGGGCAATGCATGTGATGATGCTTCTTCAGCATGGGGCAATGCAACATGATCCATTAATTTTAAGGGCAATAATGTGATACAATTGATCTATTAATATTATTAATTAGCCCATATTTAAATACATTTGGTCTAGACCTTATTTAACTGAGGCAACTGGCCTTTCATTTTTTATTTTGATCATGTCATAATTATAATAGTACAATTCCATTCTCCAACCAACTCATCATCACAAATGGATATTTTTAACCGGAGACACTGGTGTAAACATTGAACCACATCATCAAGCACTTGGAACTTGCCATGGGGCATAGTTTTTGTATTCCCTTATTCTTGACCGCTGTTTGGTAGAATCTTAAATCTTAAGTTTGGTGCTGGTTTGCTCCCTGTGAGACTCAGTAAGACTGTTCCGACACTGGATGGCTAGGCATGTAACGAATTTACATGGCAAGCCCTGGATGCTCAGCGTGAGACACAGAGGCAGCGCTGCGACATCTAGCGCGAGACTGAAAACAAGGTACCACAATGAAATCCACCACCAAAAAGATGTGAGAGCAACCGTGACTGGACCGCGAAGACAAGCACGAGACACAGACCAGACAGCAGCTTGAGGCCCAGCGCAAAACACCGACACAGCGGCACCATGAAGCGAGACAGTGGCAAGACAAGTAGGCCAAGGCAAGGATGAATAGAAAGACAGAACAAGAAGGAGGATGAAGCAGAAATTAATATAAGACCTCGAGCGAACCTACTTGTCAGTGATGGGATATTATATAGAAGACGCATACAGAGAAAATACCTAGTCTAGGTCTGGGAAAACGTATTACTGTATTGACTTCCAGGCAGCTCACTCCAAGCGCAATGTGCCCCTGTGCATCCTGCCTACATCGCAGCACATAGCCAGATACACAAGAAACACATGTCATGCCTATGCGCAATCTGCCTAGCGCAGCAACACGTAGCTATTAGCCATCCAGATTTTTTAAGTTTGAAAGAATCCCGAAGTTTATGGGTGTCTTGGCTGGTCCGTTCCAAATTTCGGACTCAACGGTCAAGCGTACGGTTTCCACCGTTTGGCCAGAGAGCCAGTGCAACCACGTTTGTACTCGATTGAGATTGACCAACGCAATATAACGCAATCACATGAAACTGATAGATCCTATGTGACCTAGTTTCAAAACATTTTTCTCACATATTTTTTGACATTTTATCTGATTATATGGCCTTTTTTCAGACATATATCTTTCAGGCATTCAATTTCCCTTTTCTACTTGGCAATTCTTGTGCGCCCTGTGGGCCCCAAAAAAATTGCTACCTTGCGGATGGGGTTCGGGTCCGGCAAGCCACAGAGGTTCGTGGGCTTGCGATCATGTTCGGTTCCGACTAGCCCTAGCCTATATATATATATATAGATAAACATTCTGCTGATAGTGGGTGGTCCGGCAAGCACCTCGTAATAGTGCTCGGAGCTCGATAAGCCGATGAAAGGGGAGCTCACGCAGCTGCTGTGTTGCGCAGCGGCGAGAAGGCGCAGAACTGCGCGGAGAAGGAAAACCGGGACCAAGATGACCGAAAACTATAGATCCCACTGGCAGAATCCAACAGAACATGCGCTCGCGTGTCTGCAACTGCGCTGCATAAACATCAACAATTGAGAAATTGTATATCTTACCCACGCATTGAAACATGGGAAATAAAATGAAATAAATGTTTTACTGATTCGCTGCCTTGAATTCGTGTACACGTCTTCAGCGCACAGCATGGTGGCATATGTTTTAATGCGCACGAGGCGCGCTGTCATGCAAGTGTACGAGAAAACAGCAGGGAACAGCTCAAAGTTTTCAAACGGCGTTTGCGTAGGAAATCCCATTGCCAGCATTCGCAGGGACAAAGCATTTTAAAACGGTTTGCTTAGCTTTAACTCGGCCGGGCCCACGCATCAGTTTCCAGCGGTCTTTCTGCATGTGAAGACATCAGAAACCCCAACGTGACAATTATTATTGACAAAAGTGTGCAACTACTGACAATCACTGCAGATCCACCCCGAAAACTCCGAAATAAAAACAACAATCAGAAAGCCCAAAAACAAACAGGACAACAATCAGACATATTCTGGGCATGCCGACTCTTGGTGATCAGGTTTCCGAACATTGCTTTGTTTATCATAAACTAATATAAGCTATGCACTGCGCACAGTTTTGCCCTGGGCCTACCATGCAGATATACCAAAACTCAAAATCCCGGATGGAATCCCGGTGCCAGAGCCCAATACTGTCCTGTCTGCTCCGCCAATTCCCATTTCTTCCACTCAAACTGCATCTGGTCGGGCAAGTACTGGAAAGATACCTGACTGCACGTGCGACGTGAGCACTTGGAAGACATTGCACAATGCCGACCGATTTCTGAAGGAATGACATATCTGGATCTCTAAGCCCTTTAAAAAAGACATGACAGCAAGAACAGCATCATATTATGAAGCTTGGAATGCGGCCGCTGTCTACCATGACTTTGGTTTGATGCACAAGGCACATGCACCGAGCGGGCCATCTGCAAGTATGCTTTGGTTTCTGCAGGCGGCGCTGCAGCCCAGCTCTCCCAGAACGCTGCACCTGCGAGCTTTCCCAAGCACAGGTGACAAACAAAGATTGACGACTCTTCGACACAAAAAATCTGCAGGACCTACATACAGTGAAGGCACGGTATGCGTCACCGTTGCACACCTCATACCGTCCGGGCTCTGGAGGTTCAGACATTGCTTGTGGCTCGCACCACAATAGTTTCCTGCCAGGCAAGCCGTTGACCCGGTACAAAATGCCGGTCCTTCATGATCTTGACTGAATCTGGCCACAGCAAGCTTGACTTTCAGAGACTTCTCTGCAGCCGGAGGAAAGAAAACATGAATCTGGAAGGGCATGTTTTGAGAAGGGAAGTCAGGCATACGGCTCCGGCAGATTCGTGTCCAACTTGTCACGTGCAATCAGCAAAGATTTGTTGGATTCTGACGCACCGAGCCTTGCCCAGGAGGATTGCTCTTGTGAGCAAATTGCAGAAGATCTATGTGCCAAATTGGCACACAGCACTCGTACACGCCGCCTTGCTTGAGGACGCGCTTGTAACTAGGGAGATCCAGCGCATGCACACCGCCGAAGTCAATTGGCCCACCCACGGCCTGCAATCATTCATGCTAGCGGCAATCAAGCCCTTCTGGTTGAAATCCAAAAAGCTATTCTGACTGGTTCAAATCTGGACAGCTGATAGCTGATAGCCAATGCTTGCTTTCGGAAGGAAAAGAAATCTCTGCCTCAACAGCTTTTGTCAGCTTCGTTGCAGCTGCTTGCAAAGCAACTACTGTAGGGTGTGTCTCTATCCCAGACGGAGGCTCCGGGCATGACTTACCCACCTTACGCTTTTGCTGCCTTGACATCACGTGTGTTCAACGGACCCTCCTCAGACCGGTCAGTTTCCAAATGGCTGCAGCAATGTCAGAACCACGTGGGTCATATTTTCGAAGACACAAAGATTAAGCGGCCTTCCGAACAGCACATGATTGTGATTTGGCTACGCTTCTGTGGTGGACGCCAAAACCGACCTCTTTGTTCGCCTATGGCCCCTGGCGTCCACCTTTGAAAGTGGACGCCAGGGACCCTCTGAAACACCTGTCAGGATCCATTTAGCAGAAAAGATTTTTGCGGCGTCGTACGTTCAAATTGGGCAAATCAACCATTTGCCAGCTGTGTGGCGTCCACCTTTGACGGTGGACGCCAGGGGAGCAATCACCCCGAGAAGAACTACTGGCGTCGCAGCTTCTCTATGGCCAAACCTAAAGCTAAGCACAAGATTGCCACTGGAACCGGAGTAGCGGCATTTGCATAACCAATGGCTGTTGACCGAGGTAACAAATGGAGATTCATTTCTTCAAGCCGGTACCCTTTCGCAGCCAACACTTCCGAGCATGTGAGGTGCCTTAGTTTGCCCTTAGCACACAAAGCCAATACTTCGCTTCGGGGTTTCAGAGGTGGCAGCTCACCGACAAAAACCTGATGCCAGGAAAAGTTGGATGCAAACAGATCTGTACAAAGAACTGCACGAGCCGCGCCAGTGGACAAAGCAGCTTTGTGAAACAAAATCTGTGCATGAACCCGTGTCAGGTCTGCCTTTTCAGGGAGGTTGCCCACTTCTTTCAACTCTTTTTCTGACAGCTGTGGAAGTTGAGCTGGCAACCAACGATGTCGAGCTGCTTTTCCGAGCAGGTTAGTGTAGCCACGCTTTTTACCCCGGCCTAGCCAGATTATCAGGTTGTGGCAGATCTGCCACCGAAGAAGAAGTCCGTCTGGGGTGATTGGAACTCTCTCTGCCAGGAACGACCCTACATGCCCCCAGCCAAGCTCCAAAACCAAGGCAACGGTGCTGCTGGCGCAGAAGCCAAAAGTTGCAAGGATAAAAGGGTGTCTCAGTCGGTCAAGGAACGCATGCTCAGTTGCAAGGTCTTGAACATCACTGTCTGGGGAATGCACCTTGACTGCCAACGGCCGTGCCCACCTCGAATCCTGCCTCAAAGACAGTGCCATATGTGCCAGCACCCAGCTGCTTGCGGCAAGCCAGAAAGCCCCCCAGCCAAGGGAAGGTGTGGCGAAGGTTCTCCCCAAGACAGGAGCTTGTCACTGCCTCTCCATCACTGTCAAAGCTAGACACAGCCAAATGCTGCCCCATTCTGGCCGCTTCTCTGGCTCGGGCATTGGCCCGCACAAGCTGCTTTGCCTTTGCGTTGTAATGTTCCCGCAAAGCTTCACAAGATCGCCTGACTATGGGCCAGGGCGTGCATGCGAAACTTTATGACACCTCACCAGAAGCAACGGCTTGCTGAAACTAAGTTGCGCACCACTTTGCCAGCATACCTGCCTGGTGGAACGTGACAGAAATTTGGTCATTCTGACATACTGGGTAGCCAACTGCAAAGAGAATTGAATGCACACAATACCCAAGCAAAAAAGGAAACATGCACACAGCTCGATCTACTCCCAGCAATGTCACACAGCAATGCCTGAGACCCTATAGGGTTCCCTACTTATCTTCTAGTGGTGACTTAGAGAAGAGGTGCCCCAGAGATGCGTCACGAGAGGTGTGGGAGAGGTGGTGTTTGAGAGGTGCCCCGGAGAGGTGCCTTAGAGTTGCCCCAGAGCTGCCCTATAGAGGTGCCCCAGAGGTGCCCGAGAGGTGCCCGAGAGGTGCCTCAGAGGTGCCCGAGAGGTGCCCTAGAGGTGCCCCAGAGGTGCCCCAGAGGTGCCCCAGAGTGCTTCCTTAGAGATGCTGACAAGGGAAGAACAAGTACAGGACAAGGGGAGCAAAAGTAAAGGTAGTGGAAGAGGTGATGGACAGGTGCTCAGCACAGGCACTATATATAATATATATATATAGTTATATATATATTATATTATATATATGTGTGTTTTTTAAAATCTTATTATATATACATATAGCAATATATGTAGCACTTGGTTTCACAAATGCTCGCCGCGCTGCATCAAGAGAACTCCTGTACACGGACCAGCCTTCGTAGAGGATAGCGTTTTTTTACGCAACCTTTTCCATGGCTTTCTGCCAACACCGCATGCACTGGCTTTGCTGCAAAACAAAGCGCAGCCAGTGGCCGGCCTATGGAGCCCGAGCTCTTTGTTCTGTTTTCTCATTGCGCGGTCTTGGGCAAAGAGTGGACAGGGACAGGTCATCAGGACGTGCTGTCCGGTTTGCTTCGAGCAACCTCAAACAACTGACATGTATCCAAGCATTTTATCTAGTATCAATACTCACACAGTGCAAAAAATGGGGTATCTGATATATATATATAATATATATATATATGTCTGACATGTTGCCTGACATGTTCATCGACGCAGAGATGGAAAGAGTCAGAGAAGAGAAGAGAAGAGAAAAGAAGAGAAAAGAAGAGAAGAAGAAAGAAGATCAAAAAAGAGAAAGTCTCAGAAGAAAGAAGGTCCAGGTGCGCGAAAAGGTAGGAAAGTCGCAAAACGCTGTGTTTTTCCAATGATTTGTGGCTCCGGAGGGTCGAAAAGCAGGCTCGCTAAAGCGGCGGGTGCGGGGCCATGTGGTCAGATGAGAGATGAAAAGTTGCACGCCGTTGTGGCGCAAAGCACATTTCCAATTTCAAATGTACAATGCACATCAGCTTCGGAACTTTTTTGAAGTTGGGATGTCGAAAAAGTGCATTCCGTTGTGGCACGAAGCACATTTCCAAGTCCAAATGTACAAAACACAGCAGCCTCGGAGCCTGTTGGAAGTTGAGATGTTCAAAAAGTGTACGCCGTTGTGGCGCGAAGCAACATGTCGAAGTCAAAAGTGCAGAAAATAGAGGGGGTACGGAGCACTTTTGGACGTTCAGATGTCGTTTCGCGTGGCAGGCGCAAGGGATTGTGCACCTTGTCAAAAGTGAGCAAAGCATGAGGGTTGTGTAGCAGTTTCAAAAACGATGGCAGGCGTGGGACATGTGCAGAGGATCCGGTAAGGGGCGCAGTGCAAGAGACATGTTCGTCAGAGCTGTTAGGAGGTCAGAGCGTTGATTTCCTGAGAAAGGTTGCATACTGGAGCATCAGATCTTGAGGTTTGCTGAGATGATTTTGTGTGACAGGCGCAGCACTTCGTATGACCTGGCATCACTTTTTCGTGGCAGGTGCAGTACTTTAGACAGGTGGAGTGGAAAAATCGCAAAATGCATTGGCAAAGGGCCGTCAGCTCTGCACTCAACCCATGATGTTCTGCCAGAAGCAGCACGGCGAATTGATTTTTCCTATTTCCAACCATCCATCCTTTTTGGATCTATATGGTTTTGACGCTGGGCCACCAGCAAACAATTGGTACTTTGCATAACTATTTTGAATTGCGGCTGTACTTCAGCACCCTTTGGTGGTTGCTAAACTGAATTTAGAAGATAAGATTTAAATCCCAGGTTTGGGGTCGAACGTCGATCAAGTATTCCCGCTTAACCGCCAGTAAGCATTGATTTTGAAACCCCCATTCAAGGGAAAATTGTTACTTGACGATATATAACATTTGGTCATTTGGTCATTTAAAATTGTTTATACAATCACCGGGATCATATGGCTCTAAGTTCTACTGCATTGATTGGCATGGTCATGAGTCATGAGTCAGGTTGTGTGGTTTCGAGCCGAGAGGTGAGCCAAGCACTGCGTTGATAGATGGCGTTTTGGGTGCGGGATACAGAAAGCCGCGCAGAATTCAGATAGTTTTGGGAGGACAAGCCAATGACGTTGTGGCGTGGCCTGTTTGTAGGCAAACAGCGCGCAGTTTTTTAGACCATTGCAGCATGCACAATACTCAGGCCAAACCAAAACTCACCATCTTATTTTATTTTATGCTGAATACTTTTGAAGTTTAAATTTAAACTTGGCAGGGTGGATCGCTGGGATGAAAGAAAACTTTCTGCCAACAGTTTTCTGGTTCAGTGTTTCTGCTGTGGTTGGTTCGATTTCTATCCCAAGGATTTTTCAGCTTGAGTACCCCTTTCCCAACTTCTCAGATCTTGTCACGTTTTCAAATTTAATGTTTGCTTGCCGGCGAAGTGGCTTTACCAAACCCGGGTTTTCAATACTGCGTGTTTTTAGCCAAAACATGAAATGGAACATGGTTTTCCCGTTCTCTTCTCTTTCAACTTGGGGCCCCCATGGAGTTGCAAGTTGCAAGCTTGGAGATTCTGTGAGAAAAGCATGGTCAACCTGGCATTCTCAGAGCCTTCCCAGGACGAGCAAGAGCAGAAGCATTTTGAGTGTCTGAACATGGCATATCACAGTTCAACATAGTTTCAGACATAGTTCAAGACATGAACTTATAGAGGCTACAAGCCTAAAATGCACCCATCGAACTATTTCGAACTATTTGGAACTATGTTCGAACTATGTTGCTGGCAACGTTTTCTTTTCGAAAAAGTGGAGTAGTGTGAGTCAGGATTGGCCCTGCTTTGAAGGACAAACGAGAATTGGTGAAGTTGGATGTGGAAGTCGCCAGATTGAAGGCCAGGCTTGGCCAGACTGACGGACTGTTGGGGACATTGCTCATTGCTAATCCTTTCGCTGCATGGCCCATGATTTCCAAATCAGAAATGAGAAAGATCCACAGAGTTTCCGTAATGTATTGTTACTTCATTTTCCTAATATCTTTTCAGACCAGGACAGCCCAGAGAGCATCTTACTTTGTGCTACTTCATTCATTTCTGGCTTACTGCTACATTTCTGAAAAGTAAAGCCAAGCTAAGAACACTTGACTTTAACTTATTATTATTACTTGACTATAACCTTAACTTACAACTTACAATTTGAACCTATAACTTTAACTTAAAACTGTCAAAACAGACTTTAAAAATAAAAATAAAAATGTTTTTTCTGCTGGCTTTTACCGTGCACTTGAACCGTTCCAAACCGTTCGAAGGTAAAAACAGCCCAAAAGCGAAATAGTTCGAAATAGTTCTAAATAGTTCGAAATAGTTCGATGCCTCTTGAACCGTTCCAAACCGTTCGAGGGCACGGGAAAAAATGACACTTGAACCGTTCCAAACCGTTCGGCAGGGGCCACTTATACTGGCTGATTTTGGATCATATTTTGTTACTGTTTTATGATGTTGATATCTTTTGACATCTTTTGACTGTCTTTTGATAACTTGTCACTTTACCTTTTTTTGACCTATCTTATGATTCTTTGATGTTTTGGACACCAGTCAAACCAAACCAGTCAAATTAAAACGTCAAAACCACTTGGCATTCTGACGCAGGCGGTGCCACAGGGGGAATGGTTTTGATCCCCACGTGAAAATTCTTTGGGAGTGATGAATATGAATATAGGCATTTCCCCTTGGCCACCTGGAATTTTGGAGAAATCAAATGAGAGGGTTAGATACCATCATCCACCCAGTTCGCCTTTTGCCGCAGTGAACAACATCGGAAGCTACATCGTATAATTATATACATTGTTACATTGGTCTTACTTTGGGCTACTGGTTCTTCAAAGTCATGTGTTTATCTTGACCAAAACGTCAGTTGCAACGTCATTTACTCCATAAGCCCTGCTTTAGAACATGAACTGCAACATTACTTCTTACATACGGAAATTTTCAGAACATTGAGGACAACGTCTACTGCCGGTGTCAACACTGATAGAGGACACTGGTTGAAATAAGTTAGATCAGAAGGGATGTACCTGGGGTTGACCAGGGAGACCCGGGACGAGATAACTTGCCCGCGGCAAGCAAGAGGTTATTTCTCCAATTTTTCACCACCTGTTCACTTTTCGCAGACGATAGGTAGGACTCTGGAGGGTCCGCAGCAAACGCCGGAAGTTTTATACCGTCTGGATGAACGAACCTGGGGTAGCCAGGGAAGCCTGGGGCAGGCCTCATGCTACCTTTTCTTGGGGGCCTCCCATGCAGCTTTGGAGTGCCCAAAGTAAACCACGAGAGGGTGTTAGATCGTCTGAAGGGAAGAGCCTGGGGTTGACCAGGGATAACCGGGACAAGCTAACCCCCCCTTTATCTTTCCATGCAGCTTGGGGGTGCCCCAAGTAAGCCATGAGAAGGTGTTAGATCGTCTAAGGGGATGTACCTGGGGTTGACCAGAGAGACCCGGGACGAGATAATTTGCCCGCAGCAAGCAAGAGGTCAATTCCAATTTTCTACTACCTGTTCATGT